TTCCATCTTATGTGGGATGATGGGGAGGTTTCATCTTATGTGGGATGATGGGGAGGTTTCATCTTATGTGGGATGATGGGTGGCTTCCATCTTATGTGGGATGATGGGTGGCTTTCGTCTTATGTGGGATTCACCGGATTTCAAACAATCGGACGAAACAGGGGAACCGGATCAACCGGCGAAGTTTGCTTCCAGTTGGTCGCTGCGATGTCCGGTGGGACGGGAAGCGGGCAGATAGAGAGCAGTGGAAAAAGGTGGGAGTAGTCAGACAGTCGGTGACCTTGTCTGGCCAAAGTCTTCCGCGTTTACCGCGCAGTACCGTGTCGCGTTTCTCTATGCAACAGCGTAAACAAGGGGGCAGAGCCGCGGTGCATCGAACTTTCGGTTAGCATTAACACTTTGCACTCGAAAATTTGTCACTAGAAATATTCAATTGATTTTTACGAGATATAGATGACATTGTTACACTGTTACAATTTCTATAGGAATTGCATATTAATTGTATTAAACGCTCGATAGTAGCGTTAACACTTCGCACTCGTAACGCGCCGTTCATTCGTCATTCGCTTCGACCCCGAAAAACAAAACTAAAAATTCAATATTCATTCTGGTATAATATCGATACCATGAACCGTTCAAATAAAATAGCTCTGTCCCTTAACACTAGATTTACGGAACCCAATTTGACGGATATTGAATTTTTTAAACATTATTCTTGATTCGTGCGATTATGCGAATACGCATTGCAATGCTCTAGTTTTGAAGCTACGGTTTTCTCCATTTACATAGACGAACGCGCAGTATTCTAAGAACAATAGAATAAAGTGCAGAAGAAACGTCCGTAAATCTAGTGTTAAACATCAGATTCGATACTCTTAGAGTCACCTCTAGTAAAGGGTGGAATACTACAGAGTTGCAAGAGGAAAACGTGCGAGGAATTGAAAAGGGTTGACGCGTACTCCGTCGGTTCTGGACGTCGTCCAGCGGCCTTGCGTTCGTCGTACATCTTCGGTTTTCTCCCTCCTGCCGGCGTACCCGGTCGTACTTGACCGTTCCGCGAGACTCGTTCGTTTGCATCCGCGCGCGCATCCGCACGCTCGCTCGCAATTGGCACAAACTGTTGCGCGCGGGCCTCGCCGTAATTAATGGTAATCGAAAGTTCGATGCACCGACTAGCCCGTTTACGCCGAACGAGAATCTTCGAAACAACCGGATAACGATGCCGGTCGAGTCGGAGTTCGAAAGCGAACCGACCGAACTTTCCGCCATTGTGGGATCGATCGGAAAACGATAACGACCGCTAACGATCGCGATGAAACGTTACACGGCGAATTGAAAATCGCTCGAGTGGGCGGCGCAAGAATGCGTTGATTAAAGCGGACTGGAATGCCGCGCGCGAATTTTCGAGTGTAACAACGCTGCGGGATCGCGAACCGGATCGTCGGAATTATCCGCCGATTTCATCGTTTCATCGGCATTCCGAGGCGAATACCGTGTCGGCGATCGATTGTCTCTGGAAAGTCTCGTCTCGTCTCTCCCTGTTTTCCAGCGAGTTTCTCTTGTACCGGTTGCACTTGACCCTACTACGGTCGCCTCTGTCCACGGTAAATCGGTAACCGGCACGAATGAATGTTTTCATGCTTCACGTGTGAATGTGCGAGTGGAGCTGCGTGCTCGTTGAAGTGTTTGAACGGATATTTTCGTTTTAGAAAAGTGCGAAGCGGAGAGTTCGGGGAGAGCGAATGATTTTGTAGGAATTTTTTCGAACACGGTCCTCAGGAGCGAAGGCACGATGTGCAATCGGTCTCGAATGGGTTAAATACGTTCTACATTCAAATTCGTCGCGATTAACACGTTGAATATGAGGGTCACCGGTGACCCCCGATCGAATCGAATATTCTTGTGATTCGGACAATTAACACATTGCGTACCGGTAACGAGAAATCTCGTTTTTATGTAAAGACACTTAGCTGTGCAACTTCGCTAATTACCACAGCATTGAAGAAATATAAAATTTCATTCGAATTGATTATCTAAAATATATTACATAACAATATATCTGAGTTTTTCTATGTATAGTGATATAAGTTGAGCACAGTGAAAATTTCCATCACAATTCAGTTTTCTGAAAATTAGGTACGCAATGTGTTAACACTTTGACTGTCCAGTAAACTCTCGTAAAAACTCCCATGCACTGGGAGCAGTTTTCTTCGTTAAGCAGAAACTAAAAGGTCAAGATTCTTCGTAATGATTGCTTTACTATCTTTCTCGTATCTCATAGATCCAAGAAAATTCGGTTCGTTCGATACGTCACCGAGAAAATTCATAATTAAGTTCACGTGGAAAATAGTGTCACCCAAGTTTGGGTGAGGCGACATGAACATTCTTGTATTATAAATAATGCTACCTAACGCGTTATAACAGAGCTATTTTCCATGTTATCGATACGTTAGCAAATTGAATATTGAATTTTCAATTTTGTTTTTCGCGGTCAAAGCGAATGGCAAATATGTCTACCGAGAACCTTCCGAGTGCAAAAGTTGAAGTGTTTCATTCGAGATCTGATTCGCTAGTCGTCGGCGAGCACGAAGCGTAACAGAAGCGGAAACGGATGAAAAGAGACGGACGAGGGAAGGAATTCGCGTCGATAAAAGTCTGCAACCGGCCAACCAGCAAACACCCGGCGACCGCTGCGCGGATTAATATTATTATTGCAACAAGGCTGCCCGGCAAGGTCGGCGAAGCCTTAAGGGGACGTCTATTTTACGTGGCCTGATTCCAACGCGTTTCGCCGGCGCGCGATAGAAGCGGAGAACGCGCGCGCGTCTGCTCGCTCGCGTAATTCGAGGCTGATCCCGATCTTTCCGTAACCGGGGATAAAAGCGGTCGTTACGTCGCGTGGGAAACAAGCCGAACGAGGAGACGCTCGCAAGGACGACGCACCGCGGCAAGTCTTTAATGCCCGGCCATAAAGTGACGCAACTCGTAATGGCACCGGTAAAGGGAACGCGAGCGGGCCGCGACACGGTGCGCGCACGCACGCTTCAATGAACACGGCCCTCGCTCGGGGAGAACACGCTCGGACACGGTGCACGCGCGCACCGGAATGTTCTTACAATTCAGAAGGATCATCCTCGTTCCGCGTTTTCAACTGGAAACCGACCGTAAAGCTGTGCGCACAATTGCGCGCGGGAAGGCTTGTGCAGTTCGTTACGCGGTACAGTCTGGTTTCAACCCTTTGCGCTCGGAAGTCTTTCGATAGAAATAGTCTGGTTTCCGAGTTAGATATTGTTTAGAACGAAGTGAACGAGGGAATATAAGTTGAAAAGCGAAGGTGTTATTACAATATTTCGTATTCGTGGATTAGAACCTCTTGCCATACAATGAGTGAAGATTTATAGATTAAATTGAAACTAAATAATTTTGCTACTGTCTAAACTAAATAATTTTGCCATTGTATTGACTAAACTATTTTGCTATTGTCAATGTATTATTTAAAGTAGAATGGAAGATCCTGTTGCTTCTCTTCTAAATTGCCGATAATAAAATGCTACAGCAGCTTAGAGAAAGTAGATAATACATCAAGGGGTTAATACTATACGTAAGACTTTGATTTTAGTATATCAAACCGCTACCTCTCGAGTTCAAAGGGTTAAAAGATAGTATCGCTACCACAGAGATTTTCTGCGGATCCTCCATCAGGATTTTCACATTTGAAAGTGTAGAATCGTACAGAATGAACGCGATAAGAACAATACAAATATCCGATATCCTTTCGATTATTCTCATTTCCCTAACGACGTTCTTAACACATTGAGCGCCGGCCCCGCGATAATGCGGGATTTTTAGTCTACCGTTTAACTGCTAATCCTACGCTCATGTAACATTTTAGATACGTATAACACAAATGCAAAGTAAAATTTACAAAGTCGAATTCCTTATTCTCTTCCGTAAGTTAGAAATTTTGGTTTAATCGACGTTTAAAAACGTATCAATATAATCATCGACGCTGAAATTTAGCCGGCGTTCAATGCGTTAAAATCTGGTAATCTCACAGGCAGGTCGCAGCAAGAAAAACAATTGAAATTCTCTCGGCAGTTGCGCTTCCGGCGAAGGTAACGGTTGGAAAGCGTTCAATTTTCGTTCCGGAGCGTTTCCTTGATAAGCTCCGCAGCCCGTGGTTAAATTAAGCTCGATGCCGACGCACCGATGCCGATAAAGTGATTTATTTCCGTTTCAGTAACTCGCAGAGAGAGAGATACCTTCCGTCTATGAATAGAGAATGTATCTGCGACTTTATCGCCGCTGGAGCATCGTTCTTCGCCCGCGGGCATTGTGCACACAGCCTTACGGTGTTTTTAGGACACTCGATAGCCGGAGACCAGCTTCCGGAGCATGTTCGCTCGCTTCCTGCCGTGTCGACCATCGGACTTCTCCTCTCGCACGAGAAGGCTCGTGTTCGCTGAATTTTATCCGGCCTCGCGAGCCTGGGTAACCAGGGAAACCGTCCCCTTGTTCTCTTCGCTGTGCGATTCTTCGAAATTTTCGGCTTTCCATCGCTCGCGACGGTTCGTTTGGCCAAGACTGTCGATACACGACGCTTAACGCATTGCGTAGCGGTAACGAGAAATCTTTTTATATAGACACTTAGCTGTGCGACTTCGCTAATTATCACAGCATTGAGAAAGTATAAAATTTTGTTCGAATTGATTATCTAAAATATAGTATATAACAATATATCTGAGTTTTTGTATGTATAGAAAATATGGTGAGGTCAACTTATATATATTCTGTATATAATATAATGTAACATAATATAATATAATATAATATATATAGAATATATATATAAGTTGACCTCACCATATTTTCTATACATAGAAAAACTCAGATATATAGATATATAGATGTATAGAATATATATAGATGTATAGAATATATATAGATATATAGAATATATAAGTTATATTATATAGTATTATATATAAGATGACCTCACTGAAAATTGCCATCACAATTCAGTTTTCTGAAAATTAGCCGGCACGCAATGTGTTAACACGTTAAGCACCACGAGAATGCTTTTCCCGACTTTTTCTTTTGTGTCAAAGACAAATTACTAATTATTCGTTACAATGTTTGCGTTACACTGTTATCAACTTACGTTATTGAACATTTTCACCTCACACCGGTTATCTTGTATGTTGTTTTTTAGTCATAGCGTCAGTCACCAGGGTCCGACATAGCGTTCACCGTTTGAGTGCCAAGCAGCACGATCGCTCTCCGTTATTTATTTATCTTTATTCTCGTTATTCTATGCTTAGAAACAGAAACACGGAACGATCGCGTTTCACAATTTCTTTCACGTACAGACAGAAAAACGTCATTCGGTTTCTGAACTGAAATGGAAGGGGCGCGATCGCTCTCGCCAGTTTTCAACTGGATTTTCGCGAATGCCCGTGGCATTCGAACGGTTCACGGATCAAGCGAGAAGCAAGGGAAACTGGGAGTCCATGGAAAACGAATTCTCGACGAATACAGATGTGTAGGTCGTCCCATAGGTTCGTGCCGTTTATTTGTTTACTACACAAAATAATATTGGATGAAATATCAAAGTGCGTTCTAACAACTAAACTGAAGCATAAGGGTTTCTATGCTGCAATTAGAAAATGTGACGCATTTAAATAAAATATTTAAATATAAACACACTGCGGTGTGAGCTTATGGGACGATCTAATATTGTTAGGGCCCTAGGGACAGGATCTATGCGGCGATGGACGGGGATTCTCGGTTCCGACGAGGCAACTTACATTCTCGATCTTCTCGTCGAGCATCTTGAAGAAGTCGAGCTGACTGGTGGATATCTCTCTGGAAAAATGGAAAACGAGATGAATGATCAGTACAGTTTCGAGAAGCGTCGGGATTGGGCTCGCGACGGGGTTCGCTCGATTACGCGTCGATCGTCTCCTTTCTCAGGGATCGCTCCAGGTTAACACTAGAACTACCGAGCATTTAATACGATCAATATGCGATTCCTATAAAAATTGTAATAGATTATTCTCAGTTTCTTCTGGCATTCATTATAGTACTCTAGTGAAGCTATTTATTTTCAAAATCATTTCGAATATTCAATGCTTCGAAGATATGAATAATTGCTGAAAGAATCGAAACCAGTCATCTTGACTGGTACGGCAGTTCTAGTGTTAAGCGAACTCTTGCGTATCAACCCCTTGTCTAACAACGCGTCAGACTAGTGGCAAAGCTTCCAAACGGAATCTGGCACGTTGACGGTCACTTTGAAGTCGACGATGGACGACAAAAGCAATTTTGTTAAAGCAACTTTATTAATCAGTCGATTTAGGAGTTCGATCAAGATTTCACACTTTCAGAATAAAGTTACACTTATTTATGGCACTAATATTCTGAGCAGTTTATTTCGAAAGTGTCCATTTTTCAAAAGAATCAAATGAACCGTTGCAACGGTTGCAATTCCGAGTAATCTCTTCAATTTTTAATGGTCTGTTAATCTTCTTGAAGTGGACTCGAGCCACTTTTAAAATAAACGGTTCATATGTTGCCATTTGCACCATCCGCGAGCACTGGACGGCTATAGACTCTATTTACGTCAACGTGTTAACAGTAAATATTATTTATACTTTAAAAGCAAACGTCGTCGTACACTCAGAATTCTCCTCCTTCCCCCGTGAATTTTTCACAACGAAATAATTCCGTCATAGTCGAGACGTGGATCGTAGCAAGGGATGAACACAGAGAGAAAGAAGAGAAGGACGACGGTGTCCGATAGAAGAAGAAGGGCGAATTCGAACGGCGAAGTTCGAAGAGCGCGGTTCGCAGGTTTCGCGGTTATTTTAACGCGGGGCTATTATTTATCTCCGTCAGGTCTATTCGCGGCCCGGTGGCGAACGGAGCAGATGCGAATAACGGATTATGCAACGCGCGGATCGACCGACGACCGAAAGATATTATATTTAGAAGAAGTTCGAGCGAACCGAACGCGCCCGCGGTGTCGAGGATCCCTTCTTCTCCACCTGCGACAGGGGATGCGCGGCCTGCGGCGATGGCAGCGGGACGGTAAACCCTCGAGGATCGTAAAGACGCGCTCCGAAATACAGTTACCGTCGATCGTTAACACGTCCGGTGCCACGTGTACCACGTACGGTACACGCCAATTTTGATAAGAAAATATTTTTAACCCTTTGCGGACGAACGTCGACGTTTCGACGAGATGAAACGTTCATATCTGGAAGACTAAGTCACGGACAAATAATTTAATTACTTAAACAGCAAGAGAGCACGTAGTTTCTCTTTTTTCTATTGATTAAGCAACTGATGTATAATTTATCTTTGTCTCTTGAAGGTTTCGTACATTTCATGGAATCTTCGTCCGCAAAGGGTTAAGATTAACCCTTTGCACTCGACACATTGTCTCATTGGTATTACCAGCAATTCCAAGCAATTTTGATAGAAGGGTAGAAAAGATAAAATTTTAATAGAACCTACAGAGGGTTTAACACTAGATTCACGGACATTTGTCTATACTTTATATTAAATTGTTGAAATTTAATTGAAATTGTTCCTAGAGAACCACACGTTCGTTTATATAAATCGCGAAGACTGCTTCGAAACCGTATTGTAATGCGTATTCGTATAATTGCGCGAATCCAGATCGACTTAATTGAAATTGTTCCTAGAGAACTACGTGTTCGTTTATATAAATCGCGAAAACTGCTTCAGAACCGTATTGTAATGCGTATTCGTATAATTGCGCGAATCCAGATCGACTTAAACAATTACTAAATGTTTTAAAAATTCAATATTGTCAAATTGACGGGTTCCGTAAATCTAGTGTTAATCACGGTAGTTTCCCGATGATACAAGGTTTTCCTCCGAGACGAGGATTTTCACGGAGAATCTCTAGAGGATCTCTGGGAACAACCGACGACCTTCCGTTTACGGTCCAACTGGGTTTACTGGCTGCCTCGCCGCGTCGTTACCCCCCGTACGCATCTAGCTGTAACAGCTGACGAGACGACGACAACGAGGACGACGACGACGACGACGACGACGACGAGCGTCCGCGTCTAACGAGAACATCGAAACCTACGCCTGTTGCAACAAAGGACCGCTTCCCGGCGGGCTCGGCTTCTTCTTCCCTTTGTCGCCGGTGCCATTTTGCTCCTCGTTTCTGTTCACCTCGACGGCGTTGTTGTTCGTCTTGTTGTTCTTCGCGCTGCCGTTCCCGTTCTTCTGCTCCACGGACGCGGAACCTGGAACCGGAAGGAACGTTAGCATAGGAAGTCCCCGGAAATAGGCAATTTCGCGAATTCTTTGGACACTTTAACCCTTAGCACTCCGGGTTGCTTTTTAACCCCTTAACTTGCACGCTCGAGTTAATTCGAGCAAGCTAAACAGGCAAAACTGTGAAAATAACAATGCGAAAGCAAAGAAAAAATCGTTTTATTGATATTTATCATTTACATGGGATTGCAAGCTGTAACACTTATTTATTCGAGAATAAAATATAGCCTTTTTCCATGGAACAAAAGCGCAGTATATCAAAATTGATTTTTAAAAAAAAAACTGTGCGTTAAGGGGTTAATCTATCAACAAGTACAACTAATTTTTATAGTACTCCTAGCGAAAATTACGTGAAAAACTAAGCACTGACATTGACTTTTGAAATTCCTCTGTAGAAGCAGCTTCAATTAATTTCTAATTCAGTTCGCTTATCGCCAAATCTCTTCAGTCGCCTCTCAGAGAAGAATCTCTTCTCAACAGTCTCAAAAGGGAGAAATCAGGAATGAGTCATTCTGACCCGTTCGGCGGTTCTAGCGTTAATCATCGGCCGAATATCCAATCGGATTGTTGATCCGCCCAGCCCCGGCAGCACGGGAAATCCAACGAAAAAAGCAGCTGGATAGGTCGCGAACTCGCGTTATCGCTCGCGATGGACGGCGGGAAGCGGCATCGCGGAGAGGAGGGCAGAGGCGGGTGCAGAGGAAGAGGGGGAAGCTAGTTGTTGCGGAGGCGAAACTATATCGGAAGCGATCCGCGCGCGAGCGAGCGAGCGAGCGAGCGAGCGGAGCAGCGCATAAAAGACTTCGGCGCGCTCACCGGGTGCAAGGTTCAAGACTGCGCTCGTAAACACGCTTAATCTTATCGCGAGCCGGCTTGACACTTTTAAGGGCCGTCACACTCGGGCCCGAGTCCAACCGGAGTATTCGATTAAAATAGACCGACAGCTGGCTATAAATGACACGGTGAGGATTCGACGCTGCGCGGGCCTCGGCAGAGTCCACGGCGGAGAGTTCGTGATAGGACCGTAAACACGGGACCTCTTACGGGCTGATCCTATCGTTAACGATGGGACCAATGGCTGGGTCAACGCAGCTTCTTTTTTCGTTCATTGTTTTGGATTGATTGACGAGTCACAGTTGATGTTGGCGTTCTTTGATAGGCGTAGCGAGTAACGTGTGCGTGTGTTGTAATTGGAAGGGATTATTCTTGGGTTTAATTTGTTAACGAGGTACCCTTCGAGTTGTTTGGTAGATTGTGTAGAATTTGTAGTCGAGCGGTAAGGGGATTATTCTTGGATTTGATTAGTTAATGAGGTACCTTTGAAGTTGTTGGATTGTACAGAATTTGCAGTCAAGTTATAACAGGATTATCCTTGAAGTCTTTCGATCCATAAATCACGTTTAAAGTGAAAGTCTATGGAGATATCGATGAACGTAGTATCATGAGTTTCGACGAGAGTAATGATTAACCTATCCCAAGGGAAGCTACCATAAGAAGGTTCGAAACTGAACTTCACCCTTTCGAAGGGAAGTAAACAAAGCATGATGTTCCGAACTATTCGAGGAAAGGCGAATTTACGATCTCGCGAGAAGACCGAAGAAAGTAACGCGCGCACGGGTGGTATAATAAATAATAGCGATTACTCAATCTTCTCGCGCAACGCGGCTTCGGCGATAGCGAGAGGAATAACGGGGGAGCGAAGTTATCGCGCGAGGCGAACGCTTCCATTCTGGCTGCTCGATCGTCGACTGTTTATCCTGCCCCGACGATTCACCGATGCAACGAACGCGAGCGAGTGATCTTGTTACGTTCGTTACGTCACCGCGGCGAACCTCTTCGGTTGTTTCCCCCCGCGCGTTACAGCGTATTATCATAATTCCCTTCGGAATCCCCGTTAAATCCGGCCGCAGCTTCTCGTCCTTCGACGAAGATCACGATCCGTTAACACGTCGCCTGCCACGGTGGTCACCGGTGAGCGGAGCTTCAAAATTGATACAACGAAACTATAAAGTTGAATGTTTAACCCTTTGCGGACGAATGTCGGCATTTCGATAAGATGAAATATTCATATTCGGAAGACTATGTCGCAGACAAGTGATTTAATTACTCGACAGTTAGAGATCAGCACGTTTCCCTTTCTTCTATTGATTAAGCGATTGATAGATAATCTTCGTCTATTGAAGGTTTTATAAATTTCTAAAAACCTTCGTCCGCAAAGGGTTAATATTTCAAATTAAACTTCGCACTGTTGAAATATTGAAATAAAACAGTGTCGCTTAATTTATCTACGAATCATCGTTAAATTAGTTTCAAACAGTATCACCCATATCTCGTCAGAAAGCGTCGAAAGCGTCATTTCCATTGAGAAACTTTCGAGCACAAAGGGTTAATTTACTCTTCGTTCGCAGTCCGATAGGTCCCTTAACTCGCTGTGATTCCTTTTGCGTTCCCGCTCCCCTCGACCGTTAATTAAAATATGTTCCCATCGTAATCGCTTTCCGCCGCGATTCCGTTTCGTCCCTTTTAACCTTTTAACCGGGGAATTGATCAACGGAAAGCTTAAAAATGTCTCTCCCGCGGCGGGCATTTCCGCCCGGTTATTAAAAGCGCATGCTCGTTAGAGCGTCTCGATAGGGAAACGACGGGATTTCACGTGTTAGCCAATTAACGGGTTAAAGCTCGTTAAGCTGGCCACGGTGAACGAACGCGACAAAGGGGCGAGAACCGTTATTATGTATTATTCTTCCAGCGAAACGCCGGCTATTCTTTCGCGAGCCGATCGAAGCCTCTCGAGCCGCAACCCAATTAAACGACCGCCCCGCGGCGGTATTCGTGTCGCCGGTATCGGTTCGGGACACGGCTCGGAAACGGTGTACAGACCGATCGATCGACCGCAACCGGCGGCGTCCCGATTCCCGAGCAATTATTGCCCCGAGACAAAGAGTGGGACGCGACAGGTGACGGGAACGGGATCTCGGGATTCCGCGGTTTGCACTCTAATTACGTGTCATCGCCGATCGTTCGATTACGAATTACCTTTTCTAGTCGCCGGTCGACGATCTGCAATTGAAATCGAGGCGATTGCGCCGGGCTGCGATTAACGAACCGTAAGTACTCGCGAGCCGATTAACCTGTTAATTGTGGAGTTTAGTTTGGAAAATCTCTAGGAAGATCCGCTGGACGGTCTAGACCTGAGAAACACATTTTCAAAGTAGTGAGATACTTTCTCTGCACATTGTTAACCCCTTCACCTACAACATCACAATATTCCAACCGTATCGTTTAGACGCAAGAACAGACGCCTCCAGCGTCAACCTTTCAACCGCAGAGCTTATTTAGGAAAAGTGCGCTCTGACCGCGTCGCGAGAAGGATTTCCACGATGACGAGTTAATTCGTCATACAGGGTTGAAGGGTTAACGCGTAATCGGATTGCATTTCGCCCGAGCGTGCTGTTCCTTTCCTTCTCGCGTGTACCAGCCTGCTCGCGTCTCTCCGAGCGGTCCATTCATTGGCACGCGAGGCGAGAGATCGAGAGAGAGAAGAAGAAGAAGAGGAGACGCGGGAGAGGAGGGAAAAGCGGAAGGAGAATGAACTCCGATTACAATGAAACGCAAATAAACCTCAAGAGAGAGACACAAAGAAACAGGCGCGAGTGCGAGGAGACTCGCCGTTCAGGCTCCGCTGTTCTGGGTGCATACGTATAATAACACACGTGTGTAGGTCAGTAGGTGGGTCCGACACGCTCGCACCCTAACCCCGCGCCGGCAATTACTCGCCTGTCCCTCGCGATATCGCGTTCAACGCGAGAATTTCAAGCGTTTTCTCTGTTAACCCCTCGCCCCACAACAACGAGTGAGACTCGTGGTGAAGATTTTCAACGTGATTCAACGAATATGTGTATTATTCAGTTCATTCGAATTCGAAGTAAATATTATTCCTCTGTAATCAACTATTATATTTGAAAGGAAATATAGGCATAACATAGGCTTCGAATTTATCTCTTTTTTCAGTAAATTATTCATGACAAAGTAGCCGTATCGATCAGAGTTCAGAAAGAAATCATAGGCCAAGGGGTTAACCCTTTACGGACGAATGTCGTTTACGCGTTTTGTCGTGATCAGACTTTTATGTTTGGAACACCAAATTGCAAACGAATGACTTAACACTAGAACTACCGAGCATTTAATACGATTAATATGCAATTCCTATAAAAATTGTAACAGTAGATTATTTTCAGTTTCTTCAGACATTCATTAGTACTCAAGTGAAGGTATTTATTTTCAAGATCATTTCAGATGTTCAATGCTTTTAAGATATCAATAATTCGGTAGTTCGGTAGCTTTAGTGTTAACTATTCAAACAACAAGAAATCAGTATATAGTTTCCTTGTTCGTTAGTTATTAAGAACTGATTTAAAGGCATACTCTGTATAAATGTTTGATTCAAAATATAATAATTGATAACAGAAGAGTAATATTAAATTTGAATTCAAAGGGATCCGATGTTCATGCTCGCTCGATTCTGTTTGAAATCAACGCTACGCAAGGCAAGAGGTTAATGGTATGAAAATTGCATCCGTTGGTGCACTCTCCTCCCCCGCAAGGGTCAGTATTACCTGAGGACACCCGTTTATTGCACCGAGCGTCTCGTTTTTCCGAGTCGTTCTTTAGTACACAGGAAACCATCGAGCTGAACAGCGTTTCTGCTCCGTTTGTAAATCGCCTTTAACACGTTGAATGCCACGCGATTCCATCGAGCACAATACAGAAAACGGAAAAAATATATTATCAAGTCATCTGATTGAATTGCATTATTATCACTGCACCTTCACGTAACCGAACGTCATTAGGCAGCGTTATTTATAATATAGAAATGTTTCCAAATAATCATCGTTTAATTGAACGGACGAACTATAGTAATCGGATTTGGAGTCACCGGTGACCCCACGGCATTCAACGTGTTAATGCA